CCCACTGTTACAGCCACTGCCATGCCAGTTATTAAATATTTTGAATATCACCTTAGTCTGGGGAGGCCCATGGACCCCAGCTTTTGAAAAGTTTTACTGTACCTCATCTAATGGCTTTGCAGAGGGAGATGCACTCTCAGCAATGCAGAAGCCAGCCTTCAGCTTGCCCCTCTTGAAGTTGTGGCCAAGTCCTGGGAGGGGGGTCACCCTTGTTCCCAGGGGGTCAGGCTGATGTCGGAGCTGAGCAAAAACGTTAAGGTCTGCTCTCAAGAAAGCCAGAGACCCCATTTTTCATGGGAAGTGAAGACTCCCTAAAACGCCCTCAACTCTCATCCAGGTCTGGCTGGTCAGAGCCCAGAGACCTTCACCCCAGTCCTCACCAAACGCTGATTCCTCCCACTGTGCCAGCTAGGACCCTACTGACTCCCAGGGCAGGAAGGTCCAGGCTCCCTTCCCCTCTGTCTCTGCTTCCGATCCTAACAATCACAAATTTGCTCTTTCATGTCTTCAAACCCTTCTCATCTTAAGAGAAGCTTCGCTTGCTGCAGACCCCACCACTTGCCCTGCAGCTTTGTTTCCACTGCCCGCCTTCACTTTCCCCTCCCTCTTCTGCAAGGACTTGAACACCAGATACTGCCTTCTCTCTCCTTCCCATCACCACCAAACTTCTCCTGATTTACTGCACCTACCTCCTCAACTCCTACTCCCTCTGCAAAAATACTAACGACAACAGCAGCCAGTGTTGACTGAGCCCTTTGTGGTCTACATCAGTGACTCATTAATCTTCACAATAACCCATGAGGTGGGAACTATTGCTACCACCTTTTATGGATGAGGAAACTGAGAGAGGTTAACTCATTTTCCAAAGGTTCTGTTACAGAGTTGGAATTGGGATCCACATTCTTACACAACTGCCTTGCACTTTGGACCCTGTCCCCACCACTGGGCCAGATCCACCTCTTCAAAGTTCTCTAACTTCACCGGTTCACTTGGGGGCCTTGGCTGGGGCAACTGCAAACCCAAGAAAAGAGGTTCTCTCTCCACAGTCCTCCCCAAAATGAATTCAAAGTCTTCCCTTGACTTGAAGTCACTCCACTGCCCAGACTCTCCTCTCCCTTCCCCTGCCCACAGGCTGTCCTCAACCCTCTCTCATTCCTTGGCCACACTGCTTCTCCTCACAGATTAAACCATTATCTCTGTGTGATCAACTCTATCATTTCCACTCTGGCCCACTCACAAGCTCCCAGTTGGCTGTGGATATCTGCCCTCAGATACTCCTAGGCAACTCAATCCTACCATGTCCACAGCCAAACTCCTCCTCTCTCAAATTCTACCACCACCAGCTCTCCAGCCCCTTAGGCTCCATCCCTCACCCTCCACAGGCCACTACCTGGTCCCTCCCCACTTTCAGCTTCCAATGCCATTATCCTGGTTCAAGTTCTCCTTCCAAAGGGCTGAGCACAGGGCCCTGGAGAGCATATGCTATGAGTTACTGTAAGAAGGAATTACTGTTTGCCTCAACCACTCACTTGTTCAATAGTGATTTATTGAGCTATTTGTACCAGGTACTGTGCATAGCAGCTGGGGATACAGCACTGAACAAGAGACAAATTGCTTGCCCTCAAGGAGCTTACATCCTAGGAGGGGGAAACAGACAATAATTTAAACAAATAAATAAATATACAGTATGTCAGAATGCTATAGAAAAGGTAAGGCTGAGTAAGGAAGATAGGTGGCGCTAGGGTGGGGGTTGCTCTTTCACATGGGATGGTCTGGGAGGCCTTGTCTATAAGCCCCTCTTTCCCAACGAGGACGGCATGACTGCAGTGGGCTGAAGCCAACCAAGGCCAAATAGAACACAACTAACACATCCAGGAAGATACATTCTCAGTCTTGCGAATAAAAATTCAGAGACTTCATTTTTAATCTCTTTAAACTGGAAACACTGGTTGCTACCAGGAATGGGAACTCAGAGGTTGGGGGAACAGGATGGGAGTCTTCTGCTAAAAAGCCTTCTGTAATCTTGAATTTTGAGATACATAAATGTATTTCCTATTTAAAACATTAATTTATTAAAATAGAAAAGAATTTACATAGTCTTCTGGAAGGGACTGGTCATTTTCATGGAGCTACCTCCCTAAAGGGGCCTGCTTTCAAATCTGCCAACTTCTGCCAGAATCCTGCAGATGCAGAACCCTCCAGTGCTCCCAAGAGGGCAGAGTCTCAACCTTGAGGACAGCAATTAACAACCTTATTTGAGCATCCACCACATGCTGGTGTCCCAGTGTGTGTGGACACCAGGCTAACAGTGACCACACAGAGACAGGCGCCCTCTTAGTGGCAGGGCAGAGGACTTGGGATATGGACAGTTAGGGTGTTGGCTAGGAGCCCACAAACACCTCTGCGTCTGTCTTATTCTTACGTGGCTCTCCATCTTGGCTATGGTTGAGCTTGGACTTAGGCCCTACTCCTGATCTGGATCTTCAGGGACCACTCACTGCTGCATCCCATTGGAAAGCCATAGGTAGATGGCCCAAGTTAAGTTTAGCCAGCAGCCTGGCTTTAGCCATGCTCCCCTGGTTTCTTTCCTAGTGAAGCTGGGGCCAGAGAGGGCTTTGCTAGGTGGCTCCATGGTGTTGGGGAGGGAGGGCTGGCTCTGTATGTGGCGAAGGCCTGAATAAGCAGGTGCTTGAGAGGACTGGGAGATAGGACATCCTGACCTAATCCTCAATGTGATGAGCACAGGGCTATGGCCAAGGAAGATGGGCTGTTTAGGCGCTTGCCCATCAGGGCATGATGATGCGGTCAGCTGGGGGTGGGAAATGGTTATTGTTCTTTAAATATTCCATATATCACTAAGTCACTAACGCCAGTCTCCACAAATTCAGGCTGCCAGGCAGAACCCCATATCTCAGCAGTCTGATCAGGTAGAGATCCTCAGCAGAGACAGAGTAGGAAGCAGGGCCTCCTTTCCTTCTCTCAATCTCGAGTGCCCAGAACTGAGCTTGGCCCTCAACAGCAACAGACACTTAGAAACTGCATAATGAATGAATTTCAGATTTTCACTCGCGGAGAGAACGCTGAACACTCAGTATTCTATACCACCTCAGGTGCAAACCAGCCAGGGCCAAGGACTCCCAAAGGAAATTCAAACCCAGCCCATTTTCATCACTCACATCTCTCAGCAGCAAAACCTGTACCTTCTTCATAAAAGGCTGACAAAGATTTCTTCTTAATCCATTAAAAACAAAGATTATTATGGCTTTGCTGATAGCAAGCAAGAAAGCTAGCTGGATTAGCAGGCAACTTCAAGTAGTTAATGAACAATTATTATGGCCTGTCCAAAGGGATCAGGTACTCATAAAAAAAAAAAAAAAAACTAGGCTAAAGTTTTATGCCATTTTAAGAGGCATGTGAGGGGTGCTGTCCGGATACTGTTGGAATCTACAGGGCCAGTCAATGGTTTCTGGAACCACTGGTTTCTGGCAGGCTAAACATCTGAAATTAAGGCTATCCCAGGAAAGCCAGGACATGTAACTGCTCTGCAGTAATGCACTAAGCTACAAAACAAACGAACTCAGGAAAAATGACTTGGTTACAGCTTTGTGACCCTTAACACAACACTCAGCACCCTGGGCTTTGGTTTCCCAGTCAGTTAAGACAGGGCCATAGAGTATCCCTCCAGCTCCTACCACTCTGTGATGCTGGCTATCTTCAAAACCATGCCTGTTTCATTGTTTTCGAGAAGTTACTTAACCTCTTTGAGACTCAGTTCTCTTATCTGTAAAAAACAGGATGATAAAATTGGGAGAGGCAATCCTGAGCAGTGGAAAAAAAATGGACTTTGGAGTCAGTCAAGCAGACAGCCTCAAATCTTTCTTCATTTGCAAAATGGGGACAGTAATATTTGTTTTAAGGATTAAACAAAATAAAGTGCATGGAAAGACTTGCTCATGCCACCTTACAGTAAGTGCAAAATAAACACTGGTTTTCTTTGTTTCCATTTCACTTTCAGCAAATGTGAGAGAGAGGGGTGCAAATGTGTTGAAATACCTACCAAAAAAAGAAAAGTAAATCCTTTATAAGAGTGAAATTGGGGGCTTTGATATCAGATCTCTTCACCTACATTTTCTTACTCTAACACAAGAGGCTTACCTCTGATCAACACTGCCCCATCGCTAAACTTATCAGACAGGTACTGGAAGATTGAGGACAAGAGGCTGCAGGGGGAAACAGGCATGAACTATAGGACACACAGCTCAAAAATGGAAAAAGATGTGTCCCCCACCCACACGGGTCATCTTGTTGGGCACCATTTCAGACCTGCTCTGTAGCAGCATTAGGAGGCCGAGTGAAGAATCTGGGTTCTGGGCAGCTGGCACGAGAGGTCCCCAGGTTGGGAAACTTCAGTGTGAAGGTGCAGTCAGCCCCCTTATTTCAAGGCAACTCAACACCATACCTGAGACCTGCCCTAGGAAGCAGTGTGGAAGCAAGAGGCCCTACTCCAAGGAGCAATTTTTAGCTCTAAATCAACTACAGGAAGAAAGACTTTTTTACCATCATAAACACTGACAGGTTTCCAAGGCTCTGGGAGAATGTCACCTGAGAGGAACAGGGCATGCCCACAAGCAGAGCTCAGGGAGGACCCTTCGCACACTGGGGAAAAGATGCAGTGCCACTACCAGTCTCAGCCAGCATGCTTCCCAGGCCCGACCTTCCCCGTGCCAGGCCCAGAATGGCTGATCCCAGCTCTGGCTCTCACATTCCAGGAACCTCTCAGGAGTGGGCAGTGGGTTTCCGGTATGATGGAGACTCATTATTCATAACACAGCAACTGAACCTTCCGCTCTGCATGAGGAGAATGTATTTTAAACCTGGAAAAAGTCATAATCTGAGACGTTCCACATGTTGTCAGCTTTACCTCTATAGCAGACATATGGCCTCTCGATTTTGAAGGAAGAACCTCTGGCTGTGCTGAGAGATGGCTGTGTGTGGGGGGGTGGGTGGGTAGGGGTGGGGTTACTCTATTAGCAGAAATGTGGTGGGTACGCACCCAGGTTCATGATTTGGACACGTGTGAAAACAGAGCTGGGACTATGCCAGTGGGGGAAACATATTCTGCAGGAGGTGGTAACCAGAAAGCTTGGCTATCCAAAAGGATTCTGGGTATAACAACCCTAGAAAGCCAGCAGGTGACTGGTTTTCGTAACATTCAGCCCTTGCTTGCTAAACACCACACCCTCAAATCTGAAGTGTCAGCCCTTTTCTACCTATGGCATCTGGCCAGCAACAGGAAAGGCTACAGGACCTCAGAAGCTCTGTGGTGCTAAGGGTGAAGACTCCAGTCAGAGAATGTGCAATATCCTAGTGGTGGGGTTCTAAGAAACAAGTGGGCCTGCTCAACAGTCACCAACCCTTGGGAATGGCTGCATGCGGGAGATAAGGGGTGCAGGTGGCTTGGGCGCTGTCACTGCCCACCAGGAAGTTGAGGCCTCTTCTTTCATCTGAAGTGGCCATAGGCATCAGAGAAGGGCACGGCTGCACAGTGAGAACAGACTGTCAACCCTTCCCCACTGCATGCCAAATGCTCTCCCCAAACAGAAGGGTAGAAAGGGCCAGGGTCCTGAGGTTTGACTCTTCTAAGGCTCAAAATGGGTTTTCTTTCAGGATTGCTTGGCTTTGCTTATTTTCAGGATTCCAGTTCAGCCCAAGCCTCAACCCTCAGACAAACTGGGACAGGTTGGGGACTTTGATGTTGAGATCGCCAATGTTGATGTTCCGAGGGATCTCAGGCAGATTGATGTTTTTCACAGCAGACACAGCCCGGGCAGGGGCTGCTGAGAGGCCACCCTGGGTAGAAACGAGAGGCAGGTATGAGACAAATTCTCAGTGTCACCTGCTTACTACTTGAGAAAAGCAGGGGAAAGTAGCCTAGAAAAAGTCCAAACTGAGCACATGCAATCAGATTTTGATTTCTCCTCATTCCTCAAAGATAGGCAGACAAAGCAGTAAAGATAACGACAAAGGTACAGACAAAGCAGACTTTAGGTTAAAGGGGACTATGGTAAAGCAAACCTGTTGCCATTGAGTTGACTCCGACTCATAGCAACCCTGTAGAACAGAGTAGAACTGCCCCATAGGGTTTCCAAGGCTGTAATCTTTACAGAAGCAGACTGCCACATCTTTCTCCTGCAGAGCGGCTGGTGGATTCAA